CTCAGCGCCCTTCCTGCTCGAACTGCCACGCTGCGCCCTGTTTGCCCGTCCTGTTCGCCACCCTCACTCGTGTCCTCGCCCACGGGGAGTCAGCACTGACCGCCGTGAGGAGCTCAGGTTTCCCTGTCTGAGAGGTGGAGGGGGCTGGGGCACCCTCTCTCACCCTGCTCTTTTTGCCTTCGCGCTTTTTGTTTTTCCCACGGTTTTGCTGCTTTTGTCACTTCTGCAAGGTCGCCGGCGTGATCCTCCGCTCTGGAGCCCTTCACCTCGGTGACAAATGCAAGGTGGCAAGTCGGATCCCAGGTCAAAAACAAGTGAAGAAGGTGAGAGCAGCAGGGGAGACAGCAAGGCACAGGCCTAGCTACAGCAGAGCTTGGGGAAGGCCCAGAACGGAGCTTGGATGCAGTGCCTGGGCTTGTGTGCTGAGGGTGCAAGGTGGGCTGGGCCCTCTGGGGTTGCGGGTGAACTTGGGCCCCCATCAGCCGGCCTTCTTCGCCCTCGCAGTTTTTCCTCAGTGTCATCACAACCCTTCCTCTTGTACTATCTATGTCAACAGCAACTTGCCACCCACTTTCATGTATATGAATCCAGCAGAAAAAATGAATGCAGTAGAGGAGAAGAACATGGCTGAGTTTTTCTAGATTAAAACCACTGTCTGTAACCACCTCATCACCATACCCTATGTAGAACTATGTCCAGGAAGAAAGACAGCACACAGACATCCAGCTTCGGTATCTACACTGAAGTGCTAGACTTCTAGTGTAGTCCAAGTAGGAGAGAGAGTTTCCTGTTTTCTGACAGGAAACTCCACCTACTGTTTTTTAATCAGATGACACTATTTTAAAATTTATTTTTGTTTATTTTTTTCCCCCGTAAATATGCATAGATAGTGGAAAACATCGTTAGCACTAGGAAGAACAAAAAGCCCAGTGAAATTGGTCTTTTATTTAGTCAAAATATTTTTATTTGGCTGTATTTAGCAGAAGGTTTCCTTTCCTCCTTTCTCCCCCTTCCCCCCTTATTGTTTGCTCATTAATTCTGATTTCTTATGCTTCCATTCTTTCAGTACAATATATTAACACCTTGCACCTCTTCAGCATTTTCCAGCTAAGGCTCTCAAAGCATTTGCAGACATGAGTTAAGTAATCCTCACAACAGTCATTATCAGTAGGGAAGTAAAATTATCTGTACTTGCAGAGAGAAGTTAAGAACAACATTTTTTCAAGTTTTTCTTTGTTTTTCAGTGTCCTACTTGTATTATGCTGGACAACTGTGGAACATATGTGACCCTGCAGTTGTGTTTCATGCTTTTGAAAGAAAAAAAGACTGAGTTTGAGCACTCAAAATCTAAAGCTATTTATGAAAATCTTTCTTTAGTAGCTTGTTGAAGGCCACGCATTAAGTGAGCAGCAGAATTCAAAACTGGGAACAAGGCTTAACTTTCATTCATGTCCTATACTACGAGACATAACTTTGTAACTTACCTTTGGACTTTAAAACCACAATTAATTCACGTCTCCTTACACATTATCCCTTACTGACCATTTTCAGTAGACTTCAACCTCAGGTCTTTACATTCTGCATTTTACTAGCAAGTTTTACATGAGGGTCTCCACAGTCAGCAGCTGTATGTAGTATACAATGCCTTTGGGTGACTGTAACGAGCCTTAATGGAAAACAAAACAGAACCAAACCCAAAAAACCCCAAATACTAACAACCTAACAAGCAACAGGTGTGGATTTTATCTTTGAGTATTTAAAGCAAACTTCAGAGTTTATGAAAAAAATTTAGTATATGACTGTTTTAAGGAAAACATCCCCATCCCCAAACCTGGTTCAAGTGGAAGACTAAATACTAACTTGACATTAACACCTTCTTGTCAGTAGTGCATCTGCATAGAGATTCTTCATTAAAACCTACAAATTCACAATTATACCTTGTGAACAGAAGTAGTATGCCTGTTCAAGCAAACAACAATTTTAAAGTATGCATTCAGTTCATGTAAATGGTATCTTCACGTTAGCTCCATCAGAAGATACGGGCATGAAACACAGATGAAACTTTTTCTTAGTTAGGTTAACACTGAAAATTCAAACAATCAGACAAACACAATGCAAGTATTTTAACAGAAACAATAGAAAATTTCACTGGCTTAAAAAAGATCTAAATGAGAAATCTTGGTTATTTCGATGTATTGCTAGACCCTACATTTAAAATGCTGCATTTACGGAACTATTCAGATGAATAAGGCTTCTTCTGTAACACTAAATACTGGAATCCTGATAGATTGTGCAATTATTAAAAATATTAACATTTTAAATGTTAACATCACAATGTTTAAATAGCTTTGCAAGTGCAATGTTATAAATATTAAACAAAAATCAACCTCAGAGCTACAATGAGTAAGTGAAAGTGCTTTTCAAGTATTTATGTTTGCTTACAGTTGGATTCTCTTGTATAAGTCAGTGCTCAGATGGTACAATTTAAATATCAGTCTTTTTTAAAATCTTGGATGCGTGCATTTAACTGGATGGAATAAATGGTTTAATTTGCAGAAATATATGATAAATATTTAAATACAGAATATAATTTGTGATAAATATTTAAATATGGGATATAAAATATGAATACGATTGATTGTTATCTATTAAAAATAGAAAAGATCACAACCTGATAGGCATATGATAACCTGATAATACCAAGGGAGCCCTTGAACCATACAGTAATAGTTAATTCCATCAAAATCCCAAATTATGATATGCTTAATCGTTGTTCTTCAATAGAGACAAAAGTATATGATCATAATAAAGGCCAAATACTGTCATCTTTTGAAGAATTTAAAAGATCTCATGATCTGTGTCAAAAGCCATGGAATCTAATGAAAACTTTCCAACACTTTCAATTCATCAGCCCTTAGCCATAGCCACTCTGGAGAACGCGGCTGGTGCTTGTCACCACTGTCCTGTCTGCCCAGTGCACCGTGTAGCTCCCTTTCTGGCTTGTCAAGAACTGTTACTATTGTAGTGATACAAAAAAGATTGTATTCCTGTTTGCCAGCCAGAAGAATGGCAAATGGGGAGACACTTGTTTATTAGACAAAAAAGCCAAACCAAAACAACCCTAAATGAATCAATACATATTTAAAAGTGCACTGAAAATATTTACTATTGAACCCTATCTCTCGTAAATGCCAGATTTTAATCTTTAATTATATCCACTTTGAACACTGAACATACGTAAGCTGATATTAGAGCATTTAGTTTGTCTTGCAATTTGAAAAGCACATGATGCAAGGCAGCATTAACATCTTTCATTAAAGATCTGGCAATGCCATAGTTTTATCATGGAGATGCAGCTTAGAAACGACACAGTTCAGGAGAAGCCCCTGCAGACTGCCATTGCAAGCTTTCTCCGACAAAGTGCTTTGTCATTTGCCAAAGACAAAAGTCAAACTGTTGCCCTACCTCACCACAGTGCTGCATTGGCAATTTATAATTTTCTTTCCAGATGCAGCTGGACTTTAATAAATTATAGCTCTTCGGAGTTAGGCAATTCTTTGGAATAAAAGCAGTGTTTCATCAAGAGTGGCCACTATTTAGACTGGTCTCTTCATGCAGACCTGACAACGGCTGATGATATTTTCTAGTCCTCCTGCTTTCAAAGTCTGTGGCAGAGGTCTCCTAAAAGAAAGAAACCAAAAATTTACTTTTTCTTTTTTAAAAATAATTTACCTTTTTCTTTAAAAAACAGGTAGAGACGACAAAACTCTGGATATGGAATTACTGACAACACTACTGAAATCCTTGGCACACTTCAAGGCCTCTTTGTGCAACAGAATGACCCGAAACCTAACAAAGAGGGGTGTCTAAACCAAGGGGAATTACAAGGGGAGCTGCGACATATTATGCAGGTAGTTATTGTCTCTTTGGGCACTTGCAGCATGGATTTGATGCACATGGATGCAGGGAAGTACAGTTTACCTGAACATTCTTCTTAGATTTAATGATGCCAACCAGAAGCTGTAGGAATTTGTGTAGTAGTTGCATGTCCCCCTGCCATGGCACTCGATGAATGGGATGGCTCTGAATTCTTCCAAGCAAGATCCAGGAGATGCCAGTGCTTGGCCAGAAGCTTCTGAGCCGGCACTTGTATACTGTAAGTACCAATACATTTTTTAATGAGAACTTGTCCATCAGCTTTTAGTAAACTGCAGGCAAAAAAAAAATTCTCTCTAAAACATACCATCTGTTCTGTGGTGTATCTTGGACAAAACAAAATGAAGACAAATTAGTTTTATCCAACTTAAAATGAAGCACAAAAGCCTTATGAAATCAAGCACAGTTACAGCATTTCTTAAGTCTCTGCAAAGGCCTTTTTCTGCTCCAAGAAAAGGCATGAGACTGTAACCAGTACAAAGCCTAGAAAGTAACTGGCTTCTGTCCAATTGAGGACTACAGTAACTGAATTACAAACAAGCCAAATCCCTTATTTTGTGTGTGTGTGCATGTTCATATTTTTGTTGCACTGATTGTTTCTCTGAACACAAAAAGTAAAGAAGGCATTTGCCTTCTCTGATGTTGGTAAATGCTTGTAGAAATAGCTCTAAAGTAATTTATGACAGTAGAAAATTGGCTAGAAAATACCATTTAAATTTGCTGATGTTGAAAACAAGCACATTATTATAACCAGATGCCGCAAAAATTATCTTTCTTTTCCAAGATGATGATTATTACTCAAGGCCAAATCCCAGGAGAGACAATAAATTTCACACTAGATCTAAAAAAGACTTTACATGATGCAAAAAAGGGCATTTTTCATTGTCTTTTACCCTCATTTGCTGGCATCCCTATGACATCCCACGGGCATGGATAACAAAGATTAAGTGCTATATTCCCTATTATAGATACACCCTCATTCCCATAATCAGTTCTCAGTTTGCAGGCACATTATGAACTTCCTTCACTCATATCTTGTTATGGCACCAAAACTGCTGAGGCAGTCTTTTGGAGACAGTGTACTGCATTTGGTTTGATTTTAGCCTTCTGTGGAGTACAGCCTCGATCTGATTTATAGAAGAGCTGCCTGGCATAGAAATGGGTCAGTTATTTCTGCGTATCAGGACGAGTTTAACCACTCCATTCCCCAAACCTGTTTCCTAGATCTCAGCATGACGCATGAAAATGAGAGCATGCAGTTATTTTGTCAGACTAAAATCTTATGGTTCTCCTTTCATCTTTCCCGTTTGCCCTCCTGCCACCTATTTTTGAGGGCAGATCAGAACAGTCGCTCCAGTGCTTCTGTTAATTGAGTTATTGTTTACTTCTTGGCAAAGGGAAAAAAAGCCAATTTAACAATTATTAAGAAACAAATGAGCTATGAGCAGATGAAAATGCCAGTGAAAGTGAGAGGTCATAAAAATAATAATTCAAGTCTTTATATCCTTACCATAACAAAAGAAAAACCCTTCCAGAGAGAGATCCAGCCTTCTGGACATGGAGGAACTACAGTCGTTTGGCTGTGAACTGCTATTACCATTGCAGCTCCTTCACAGACAACACACCTGTAAGAAGAAAACCGCATGCATTCAGTGCAGATACAAGGGAAAACATGAAAGCAGACAAAAATGGTATCTTCTGGGACAGTAGCTACCTAATGGCAGGGCTTACTATAAATGTTACAACTCACACAGGTTTTCTCTGTTTAATGAGGAGATAAGTAGATGGAAGGTAACCCAAATGTCTTGCTTTGTAATTGCTTTGCAATCTCTGCTAGTAACACCAGACAAAAATTGGTATAAGATGGGAATTAGTCTCAGAACATTTGAGCTTCCCAATTTTGCCTTTACTGAAGTAAGCTAAATTCCCTTCTTTGTGTTCTTACTACTTTATGTTGTTACGGTTTAGATCAAAGCTCTGTGCCTTTATTTGCTAAGATTAGAAAAAATAGTCTTTCCTAAAGGAAGAAACTATGAGGCTGAACCACTAGATTGCAGCAACTGGATAGGGGAGGCCAGAAGACAGAGTGCAAAGTTTGCTTCCCCATCTTTGATTTTGCTGTTCTTGGTCTTTCATGCTTATAGAGCTTTTCCTCTTAAGATGCTCTTCATCCTTTTCAGCTGTTTTAAAGAAATTAGAAAGGGCCATATTTGCACAAGGGTGTTTCATAGCAGAGAACATACAGCCCAAATTTGCTATGCTCTTCACCAACTACAGTCAATGTATCACACGTAATTGAAATAAAAACTTGATTTGTACTGCATTTCAAATAACGAAGCTGTCTTTATTTCAATTTAGTCTCCCTCCAATATATACAACAATAGGTTTTTAAAAAAATATCACTGCAATCAGTAGGATTGTGTGCCATCTTCTATGTTAGCTATTCAGATTAAGCCCTGTGGTGGGACCCTAGCTTTAATCTAACTTTTCTTAACAGTATCACTGACATATCATATCTGACGTATTTAGGTAAGTAAGCAAAAATCAGGTGGTTAAAAACAATGCTTGTACTGGCTGAGATGGGCAGCTCTTTGCCTAAGATTTCAGGTTCCAGGACAGAAAAGCTACAATTCTTATATTCTTACCTGCTTATATGTGGCTCTAGAGCCCTGCCAGAAATTGGTGCCATGTCTACTGGCATTACTGCTGCAGTTGACAGCCAGTATGAATAGTCATTACGAGAAGCAAAACTACAGACATCATTGGTGTTACAGAATAAGAAAGGCATGGTGGTAAATCTCTGCAAGCAGCTACCAGCTGTTCCTAAAAGACAAAAGAGGAGAGGTTTGTGACAGATAGGAGCTTATATTTAGTGCAGCAAACACATCATGGCATCCAATCTACTATAATGTGAATTAAAACAGTTGGTAGCTATAGAGAAGTGTCTGTACAGTGGAATTACATGAAAGCAAAATGCTTATGGTATATATAAAAATACATATATGAAAAAATAAGGGCTAAGAACAAAATCTGTTAAAATAACAGTATCTTTTTGAATGGTTTCAGTCCTTGGCACAGTGGCAGGGATTCAGCTTCTTAAACAAAAACTTCAGATGACATTTTTTGGCCCCCTAAAGCATCTCATTTGGTCTCCAAAAAAAGCAAGATTCTATCTCAGATCCTGTGTTGTTACTGTCAGCCCTGTGCAGATGTTGTGAATATTTATACTAGACACCTATCCATAAGTAACTGAATTCCTCCTCAAAAATGTCTAGGGATAGCAAAAAGGGAATATAGAAGTTCAGGAAAGAAAGCTGTCCTTCAGGCTATGATTCCTGAATTGACTCAGAGCAGCAGACCACTCTGGAGACTGATCATTGAAGCCAGTGCTCATCTTGGACACTTACTGTGAGTTTGGTTTCATGACAGCTTGCATTATTGGACTCTAAAGAAAAAGAATTGAAAATGTTTACCAATACAGTACCAAGATCTTGTCCATGTGCTCGTTCATTTCCTTGTACAAAAAGCAGCGAATAGCCAACATAGATCTGTGATGTCCCATATGGGCATGAAGGAATCTTTGTTGATTGACTATGCCGGGTAAAGATAAAACCTCTTCTTGTTGAGCCAGCAATGATAGTACCTGGTGATCCAGGTAACCCCTGTAGACCTGGAAAGCCAATCAGCCCAGGTTGTCCTGTGGAGGGGAAAGAAATATGACTCCAAATATTATCATTCTTACTGAAATTTTTACTTCATTTGGAAGTAAAACAAAATTTGGAACCACTTGAAAATTAACAATTTATCAATAAGAAGATACAAGTAGAAAATTGGTAGTATTTGTTGCTAAATGTATTGACTCCTTCAGACTTAGTTCAGTTAGCTTTATATTGCATAGTTTCACGGAATGGTGAGGTATTTTAAAGAACCATGGCCATTTTTACCAAAAAAGTTGTAAAGTAAAAATATTTCATGGTGACTAATTAAAAATATTTAGTTCTATTTCGATGTCATAAAAAGGCACGCTGATACCTAGGGATTTCAAGTGGATAAATAAATGTGATTAATAACAGAGAAGCACAGTCAAGGCGTATTTTTGTAAAGTATTTCAGTAATGAATCTGTTAAAAGCTAAGAATGTGCTTACGTGTGCTTGTAGCCCTAAGGCTACTGCAAATGTTAGAGTCTCAGTACATGCAAAAGGAAGGATTTACAGAAATCAGGAATACAGTTTATCTGTAAATTCAGTAGTAGCAGTCAAACAGAGATGTCTGCTTCCCTGTACCTCTTTGTCCTGGAAATCCTCTGTCTCCTTTCGGACCAGGCAGTCCTGGTTGACCTGGATGACCAAAACTTCCTGGTAGACCTTTTATTCCTTTAGGTCCTAAATTGTGATCAAGAAAAAACAAAATCATATAGCAGTAGTTAATTCTAGGTTTTAAGGACTGCTAATGAAGAAAGTTAAAATCCCCATATAGCTGCATTAGAATAGCAAAATCAGCATGAATTTACTAAGTTTGAGACTGTCTGAAGTGTTACTGTCACCAGTATCAGGAAGATTACAAGGAAATATTGAATGTATTGCAGAAAAACATTATTCTCATAAGAAATGTTTACAGATATCAAAGCAAATAGCTTTTTCCTTTAGTATGTGTTATACAATAGTAATATTTACAAAATACAGTAACAGGCCATAATCATCTTGGTTACAGTTTATAATTCAATAAGTAATGCAGCTCCTTCGTAAAACAGCTTCAAGGAAAGTTTAAAACAACAATTCTTTAGTGCCTGCTTTGTTACGCTGAAGGCCTGAGTGGGGCATGTCTTCTGGCAAGCCTGTGCCCCTGAGGAGTTCCCTTCCTTGGGTGGAAAACTGTGGTATTGAGAAGGGTGGCCAAGTACCCACTGCAAATCCACTTCATCCTACCCTGCTTCCCCATTCCTCACAGATGTGGCAGGTTTCACTTCTAGTGCCAATGGAGAAGTAGCCAGCCTCTCCTTTCCCTTCCCAACCCCAGACTACGACAGACACAATCACTTGGTAACGTATCTAGAGTACTTCTATTACATGTGATAATTTTGCCCCCAGAATGACAACCATCCTGAACATGGTTCTCATTGTATGACAATGGGGAATGTTTTGATCCAAGTTTACTTTTTATTCCATTGTTTTGCTTAGGCTTATGTTGAGGAAGAAACTCACTCACTGACTGCAAGGGTGGAGGGCAAATGGAATGGGACAAGTTATGAATACAAGGTTGTTAACAAGGTACAAAGAGCTGCTTTTAAATATGAGGGGTATTTTTAAAGACACGTCAATTTTGTATGCCAAAGCATGTTTTCCCATCAAACCAAAATGTTCCACTAAGGCACGGACACAAACATGTACAGAGACAAAAATATAAACCACCTTGTAGTCCAGGAATCCCTTGAATTCCTTGATCACCTGGTCTTCCTGGGATTCCTGGCAGTCCTGGAGGACCCTTGCTTCCTGGGACAGAGAATATTCTCCCAGGAACTCCAGGTGGACCTAGCAGCAAAAATAAAATGAAGAGCTATTGCTTTACATTAAAAGAAAGCAAACAAGCTACAACGCAAAACAAACAGATCAACCTAAGTCAGCTGGTATTAGAGTAAGAGTTGGTTACCATGCTGGCCCTTTGGTCCCCTTGGTCCTTCTGCACCTTGTGGTCCAGGGGGTCCCTGATTACCCTTTTCTCCTAAAAAAGAAGATTGAAGATACATCCGTCTGGTTTAAAATGTCAAAAAAACTGTCAATGTTTCAGAGTTGTTATTCAGGGGTCCTGCAAAATCCATGCAACCTTCCCAAGGAGTAACACAACCTGCAGACTCACTTGAAATGCAAAAGTGGTCTTACGCATCTCTGCTATTACTGTATAATTTATAGGCCAAGTGCATTCAGTTTATAAGTTGTTTCCAGGCCTGTCTTCATGTAATGGCTGGTCCCATAAACATAGCTTACAAATCTCAACTTTAGACTATGTCCTTTTCATCTTACATGTTTTTGTCACTGAGTTTGCAGGTCAAGTGCTGCCTTTAGTGATGTTGTGCAGTTCTGCTCCCTTTAAACCCTACTGTCAGTTATGCTGATGGCTCTTAGAGGGGTTGCATAGTTTTTCAAGTGTTTGAAACTTAATAAGCAATTATTTTCACTGTACAAAATAAGAGGTTGCATTCAAATTATTTTCCACAGCTCCTCTGGAAATCAAAAAAAAAAATAAATGTATTTTTATCATCAAGTCAGGTGATTTGATTAACTATGCCATGAAATTAGAGCTTTTTGCTTAAGAAAGTATAATTACTGTAAGTACAGTGACTTTTCAAATTTGAAGAAGTTTAAAATACACAATAATTAGCATGGAACTCAAACCAGTAGGTTAAAGAGGTAATGACAATTTTGTGTTGCTGTAAATCATGCAATTGACAAATGAGAATACTGGAGTAATGCAGACCTCTGTCAGATTTAAATCACTAGAAAAATGTCTAAATTAAAAAGGATTTTTAGCCAGCTACTGATCCAACTAACCCTCAGAACTATGGAATTAATGAAGCCAATATATTTAACAATTCATCTGCTGATAAACTGGTAAATTAGGTTGTAATTGGGACTATTCTTATGGCAAAGAGAACACCCAGTGCTCTGTGTTGTAATGACGATTAAACGATCTTGAGATCTATAGCTAACGGGTTGTCAACAAGTCACATCTTCTAGCAGTGGTGTGGCTTTTCTAATTAGCAGACACAGTCCCAAAGTCCTTGCACATTGTTAGTCACTAAGGACAAACTTGTTTTGAATTTGCCTGGAATGAAGGCCATTGAAGTTTCAGTCCTTTTTCACTTGAACATTGGTTTGGACATACCCCACAGCATCTAACTCAACAAAAATGTTCTCTTAGTGAATACTTTCATTTATAGCTGACCTACACCCTGCTCTTAATGGAAAATCTTCATGTCTCTAGGACCACGCTTGGTACTGTTACACAAATGCTATTATAACAAAGCATGTAAATTATTGTATTTGGCACACAGGACTGTATGTAATAAATAAATGAGTACCTTTTACACCTGGGAATCCAAGAAATCCAGGGTCCCCTCTAGCACCAGGATAACCTGATCGACCTTCCACTCCCTGCAAATCAGGTAACACCAGTAATAAGCAGGAAGCAGCATCTGTGTGCTATGAAGTACATTTTTATTTTGCTCGGAATATTCAAAGCATTACATTAACAGAAAATGCTACAACTCGAATTATCTTCTCCATTTGTGAGCATGTTGGAAATGGTCATATAATTGTTAATAATATGGCCAAGGAAATGATATGCCAGAAATTGACAATAATTCCTTTTTGGTCCATTTAAGTCCATAAAAACTACTTTTCATATCCATTTTAATATCTTTCCTCTGTTACAAGGGTTTTTGGGGAGGATTTTTTTGTTGTTGTTTTGGTTTATTGTTTGTTTGTTTTTAAATTGCCCTGAGTGTTATTTTCATGGTAAGAGCAAGTTAACAATGGAGTAAGAAACAAGCAATGTTCCTTTCACTGACCTTTGGTCCGGGAGGACCAACGTCACCGGCTGGGCCTGTTTGCCCTGGTATGCCATTTGCCCCTCTAACACCTTTGCTTCCTTTCATGCTGGGAGTGGGAAGACCAGGAGGCCCTGGAAAACCAGGAGGACCTGTCCAGAAACATCAGAGTAACTAAGACTACTGCCAACAGCACTTCATATACATTACATACAATGCAGTACAACATTTAATGACTATAATGGTACTCATGTTTTCCATCTCAGTGATTTCCAAAGAAATATACCCATTAAAAAAAAAATCAAGTAATTTTTCCTAGCCTGCTAATTTCATCTGAGATAAGAGTTGAGTCCTTGCAGTACTCCATAGCACTAGTGTTTTTTGACTATCTTCCAGTTGTCGTTATGCCTGTAATCACAGAATCATTTAGGCTAGAAAAGACCTTTGAGACCATCGAGTCCAACCATGAACTTAACACCACTGAGTCCACCACTACACCATGTCTCCAAGTGCCATGTCTACACACTCATGCTATCTCAGTTGTTTAAAGTTGGATCTCAGCTGCCCTACGGACAGCATGAGGAGAAAGCAAAACAGTGCAATCAAGTGGACTGCAAAGCTTAGTGTTATTTTAATTTACATCACACTGCACTGATCATCACAGGGTTTGCAATGGTACCACTGGATTAACTGGAAAAAGAACTACCTGTTTAATTATCAAGCTTTCTTCGGAGAGGACCCCTTTCAACCTTGAGTGCTGGACAGGGTGAATTCTGCTTTCTATTATCAGTATATAATTTCAGATAAAGGAGGACTTAAAACAACTCACCTGGTCTTCCATCTGCACCAGCAATACCTCTGTTCCCTTTTTGACCATTAATTGCCATGCCTGTTGCACCTTGAAATCCAGGTAACCCCATTAAGCCAGGAGGTCCAACGGGTCCTTGATCACCCTGATGACCTTTCATACCTGGTGGCCCAGGAAAACCAGGGAGTCCCATGTCCCCTTTGATTCCTGCAAAGTGTAAGTATTACATCTGTCAAGATGGTGAGATGGTGTGACTACACAAAATATGTGCATTAACTGTACTGCAGAGGTGGAATTCAGCCTTTGTTTTTATTATGGAGAAGTCCTCAAAGCCACCTTGCTACTGTAAAGCAAATAGTTGTGCAAAGACTCACTGCAAAGTAGTGCATACACCACTGGTTGGTTGTTTTTTGTTTTTTTTTCAAAATGTTTTTAAAAACTCCACTTCAGAGATTGCACTTCAGATACAAAGCAATAAATTTGAGTGGAAGGTAGAAAGACCAACGCAGGGAATATTTCTTGAGGCATAACTAGAAGAAATGCTTCTTTGAACATCAGAACCAGCAAATTCTTTTAAATTAAATTACAGCTAAAAGCATCAATATGAGTTCAATAAAATAAGAGATTATTCAAAAAAGATACTGTTCTAAGGTTGATCTTAGAGTGCATGATCTATGTATGGAGGATATGAAGAGAGTTGGGTTTTTTTGTACTTTAATAAAGCAAAACAATGGATTTCTGCTAGTACTAGAAATACAATGCAAAACCTAACAAATGTGAAGGGTCTCTTCAATCAGCTGTTCATCAACATACAAGGGGAGTGAGCAAAATTAAAACGCAATCAGTGTATCTTTCTTACACTGTGCTTAGCATTCAGCAGCAGCATCTGTTTTCATTAGAACATACTCTGTTAATCAAATTATGAATCCCAATAAAATTTCAAAAGCTCTGGAATGTGTATATCATCTTCACAAAACCACCGAAGATAGCTTCTTTATTTCCCTTTTACAGTAGTCTTAACTTTACAGGCAAGAACTGTTGACATTTACTATATAGCACCAAATCATTGATCAAAAGCACCAAATAACTCTTAATTTCTTCTGACACTTCTAGTGCTATGTCAGGCATCCAAAAGGAGGAGGCAACTTAGAGATGAAGATGATGATTCTGGTATTTAAAAATTAAGCTTTTGGTTTCAGCAAAGACAGCTCACCTCTACGACCAGGAATACCTCGAAGGCCAGGAATTCCTCTCCCTGGAGCTCCTATAAGATATTAGGTCACGTTACACTCAAAGTCCTGAATAATTTTTAGAAAACATCATTGTTATCTAATATATCATACATTTCTTCAGAATTTACTGAATCAAAATGTAGAAATTTAATTTGTGTTTCTGGATAGATGAAATGGAAATAATAAATTATATTTTACATATAACTAAAATCTACATTTATATTTCTTTATAGTAGAAACTCTAATTGATCAATCATATGTGAGGTACATTCTACAATAATAAGCTTTGTCTTCTTTCAGAGGAAAAAAAGCAGAAGAAAAATCTGCACTTAAATTAGTAAGAAAAATAGAAGAAATGTAAATACCTAAAAAATATAATACGTTAACAGTGATTACTTCAAACTTAATATGAAAAAGCTTACGAAATACCATGAATGCCCTCTCACTATCCTTTTTATACTACTGGGTTGGCCAAAAAATCATTGTGGGGTGTTTTTTTTTCTGGGTAAATGGAAGGTGAATTTTTCACGGGAAACAGAAACTGTATTAAGCAATATAGTGTCCATTTTGTTCAATTGCCTTTTACCATTTTTCAGACAACTTCATGATTCTGTGGTCAAAAAAGTTCTTACATTTTTCAGCACAAAACAGTTCCAGGAAAGATTTGATATCCTCATCAGCAGGGAAAGTTTTACCATTCTAGGGGATTTGTAAAGAACAGAACAACTGCAGTCTGATGGTGCCAGGTCTGGTGGATCTGGTGGATGTGGTAACACATCCCACCCAAGCTGCAACAGTTTTTGACATGTGACCAAACTCGTCTGTGGTCTAAACTTATCTTTGGCTCCACAGAAGCTCCTTATTAATCCTTCCCAAATAATCCATGTCAGTTTAACTAGTGAGAAAAAAAAAAAGTCAAATAGAATGAAAATATTTCACTGGTGTTACCTGGTTCTCCCTTTGCTCCTGGGGGACCAGGCATACCATCCTGACCTTGATTACCTCTTTCACCACCAAGTCCATTTCTTCCAGGGTCTCCAACAGCACCTGCGAATTATAATGGACCACAATATCATTTTCAGTTTAATGATTTTGCATTTCAAAGGAAGAAGATATGAGTCTCCCTTATTAAAATCTAATTAGCTCAGCAACGTCAAAGATAGACGTAACTGTGTTGTTATATAAACATTTGTAAAGAGCAATATATAATTTTTTTGAGCTCACTGGACTTCAATTAACACCTCCACTGTTTTCACGGGTAATAACTTCCTGAATTTCAAAGACATTTTAGGACCCTGCCTTTGATTTAACCCATGCTGGTGGGAATCCATACAATTAGTGTGGTTTCTGTCCCTGGTTTTATTACAAATTCAAGGTTTCTCTGAACAGAGGGTAGGTTCTGATCTTTGCTAACTTTGCTAACTCAGTGCAAGTTCACTAAAGTCAATAAAGCCATAACATCATAATGCCTGCATTGGATATCTCTCTGTTGCTACACACTCCCTCTTAGGTATATTTTGAGTGGTTTGATCTTTTCTGTTGCCTTAACAAACAACTACAACTCTGTCCCCTCTTTCCTCTTTAATTCATTTTCTTCTCCTTCTCATCTAGCTAGATCTTAGTTTATTATTCTCTTTTAGGAGGTAGAAGCAGCCTTTCTTACAATTGTGTGGATATCACATCTTGAGACCCCTGGATGAAAAAAAGCAAAATCTTTACAATAGTGAAACAAAACTAAAACCTCTTGCCTCAGCTGAACTGATAACTTTGAGAAGTGGCTGTTACAGACCTTAGCTGGAACCAGAGAAGGTGAACAAACATTGAACTAACAGAGACTGCAACTGCATCAGTTAAATTCTAAAAAGCTCAGAAGATCAACTGCCTCTTTACAAAGAAAATAACAAACGAAGGGGCAGTGATGTGGGAGACATGCTGTATACCATACCAGGAGGGCCTGTAATGCCCTGTTGTCCTGGGCAGCCCTGCTGTCCTTTAACACCAGTATGTCCACGAGGTCCAAGCTTCCCTGTAAGAAGAAAGGGTGTCAGGGAGGAGAAAAGGCGTTATCACTAGATCCAGACTCAGTCTGAGAACTTTGCTATTCTTTCTGTGTCGGACAGCTGCGAAAGATCTCTAGCTGATGTAAGCTAGCCTGTCTGCACTGACTACAAAGGAGCTGTTTAGGTTTACAGCAGCTGAATATAAATATGCCACCCCAAAAGCAGTCTGTGTAGTTTAATGAGAAATTATCTTCTTCTAGAAGCATGTCAACATCTCACCACTCCTCCAAACCAAAGCATACCTGGGATTCCTGCACCTCCAGCTTCCCCTCTGATGCCCTGTTGTCCTGGTACTCCTTTAAGTCCTGGATGTCCTTGGGATCCTTTTTCTCCTTTGTTGCCTAGAACTCCTGGGAGGCCTGGATCTCCCTGGGAAACAGCAGTTGCACACAAACAGGTAAAAAAATCACATTACATTACATACATTACATTCCATATTTGGATAATAGAAAAATCATACGTAATTCTAAAGGTTAAGTGTAATCATAGTTCATTATGATTTTCAGACAAAAATCAAAGTAGACTAATATGAAGTCTTCTCATAATACCACTGATGCTATAGCCATAGCTAAGAAAAAGAAAAATCTTTCTTTAATCTGTACAAACCAACTTCAGTCTTTAGATATTTTCACCAGCACATAGACTTCGCTCCAACTTTATTCTAACAACTCCTCTTTTGATCCAACTTACATTCCTTGCATAATATGCATTTCAGGATTTTGTACAGCTGCATATTTTTCCTTGAATTCCTACTGACTTTCATGACAATAAGCTCAATACCAGCTAATACGGAAAATAAACAGCTAATTTGAACAGATCACAGGAGTTACAATATAGTTTACAGCCTCAACTATGCATTTTAGATAAATTTTAGTCATATGTAAAAATACTCCCAAGTTGTTCAACAACCAGGATATGTGGAGTAAAACTGTATCCAAGTGACCTAACTTAAAAGGTACTGTTACTTTCTTAGCAATATGTAACTGAATATATATACTGAATATATATTTGTAAGAAAAAAAAACAATTCATATAGTGTAATGACATTACTAGACTGTTAAAAAACAACAGTACAATTTTAGATTACGAAACTTTTGCATTTGGTTATGTTTTTCTGTACATTTTAATGTACAAGTATGCCTACTGCTGACTTTTGAAGTGCAAGTTCTTGTTCTTCATAGATTAGCAACTTTTACAGAAACAAAGTTATTGCCAGGATGTTCCAGTTTTACAAATAAGAAATTCTTGCACAAAGAGAAAAATAAAATATACCAAACTCAAAAATTTCTCCTCAGTAATGACACAATAGGATATTCCTATTTTTTATTACTAATAAATCGTCTACTTCTGCAGACTCTGCAGCTCTTGCTTTCATACTGTTCTGTTTCTGTAGTCAAAGGCTCTGCTTATTGCCTAATAAAATGATATTTCCATTGCCTTCATACCTTTGGACCAGGTTCTCCTGGAGGCCCAGCAGATGGGTACCCAGGATCTCCTTTGTCACCTGGAAAGCCACCATAGCCTGGTGGACCAGGGTCACCTGGTGGTCCTGGAAAGCCTGGAGATCCTTTCTGTCCTTTTGGACCTGGAAAAATACTGATTCTGATACCATTCTTTAAATGATCATAATTGCAAACTACACCTCGTGTTTTCTGAACTACTGCTTGTGTATTCAGATTTTAAGTCTTCATTAAAGATTAAGTAATTTACACAGCCACTTAAAAAGAAGTTCTTACACGTAACAATATATACATTAAAGAAGTAATATTTCATTTAGATAGAGGGAGAACTGCATTCTGCAAGTCAAGCAAATGCTGGGGTGGCGAGAAGTCTATAGGTACTGCAAAGAATAAATCCCAGCCTAAATATTCTGTAGTGTGCTTACAGTAACTGCTCAGATCTGTGCAAATGCTTCTATACAGCTCTATAAATTTGTAATATTGCTTGACAGAATGTTACCTGGAATTCCCATGTCCCCTTTGTTTCCTGGTGTACCTGGGAATCCATGTCCTCCAGGAATCCCTGGAAGACCCATAAATCCTTTGACACCTGCAAGATGAAGAAATAAGTATCATCTTCACATGTTTACTTTAGACACTGGCTGGCTGGTAAAGCTTTCATGAATACAGACTCTTCTACCACACACCTTGTCATGGTATCCTTATTATTTTATAAATCAACATGCAGCCTCTTGCCCCAGACACAGATAAAATTACCATTATTATTGTCAGAAAGTCAAGGAAATAAAAAGCATCTTATGTATCGACATTAAAACTATGGTTTGTGACCACAGTACTTAAGAGGCAGCAACTGAAACATATTTTTGCAAATTTTGATCAAGATCATGAATTTGTATTTACACACTGGTCTCTCCTTTCATTGTTCCCCCTTGAGTTCAGTCTGGTTTCTGCCCATGTCACAATCACATTATTACTTAGTCATTACGCACTTCTCATGACCGGTATACTAAAGAGCTTTCTCTTACATGGCTTACACACTTTTTCCCCCCCGCTCACTTTTCTTCAGCTTAATTTAGCTAACTTAGCATTCAGTTAAATGACTACAAGATCTAGTCGCATCTAGAATGTCCAAATATCTAAATTCCACGGTCCTAACAATGCCTGAATGTTTAGGCAGGTGAGGCTGTATTTTCTTCCATAAAAAGTTATGGAGTAGAAGAACATTTGCAGTTTTCCCCGTGATGGCTACACTGCAGTGACAGAATATAGCAGTGATTCTATAATGACATAAAGCATGGATAATTGCCATTGTGAGAAGAGCCACTTTGATTACAAGTTTAAAATTATTTCTAATTGTAACCAGTTTTATATACCTAATTATACTGTCATATGGTTTTCTATAAAGAAGTTACCTCAAGGAATCAAAAATATAGAATACAGAGAAGTAAAGATGTTAGCATTAATCTGAAAAAACAGTTGCATTGCCTCATTCAAGGGTCAACATCTATCATTATGCAAGAGGTTATGGTAACGATAGAGCAAAACTTTATGGAATAGCTGAGGTAGGTTTATAATTTATGCACGTTCTTTTTAAGTCTGCTTTTCACTGAAGATAGAGTAACTATCAAAATATAAGCCAAACATGCAGACTCTGAAAAGGAAAATAAAATCAATCTGAAATTTAAAAAACTTCTGAAATACTTTTGTACATAATTTTACTTTTCATATTTTAGAATTCAGACTTTCATTTATAATACCAGGAATTCTAACTTCTCTTCATTTTTATAATTATCAATATTTATTCATTCACCTCATCGGCTTTAAGATTTTAAAGTTATTACTATTCAGGATTTAGTATTACTTTCTATTTATCACCTGAAACATTGGTCTATATTTGGAAGGAAACAGAATAATTTGGTGGTATCTGCTATGACTTTCAAATAGCGTTTGAAACTGGTCAGTTTCAGAATTCTCATAAAAGCTTCAGAATTAATACAGAGAATGTTGTGCTGCTGCTGGAGCCAGCTTTATGTGCTAGCACTGAGGTAGTGTTCTCTCCACTCTCCATATGATACAGTATATTTTGAATAGATGTAGTCCATACCTGGTATACCAGGCATTCCTTCAGACCCATCGAGACCTGGGAGACCTTGCACACCAGCATCTCCTTTTTCTCCTCTTAGACCCCTTCTTCCTTGAACTCCTAAAACAAAGTTTCATTTAAAAAAATATCACAAAACATCTTAGAATATAAGTTTTATGTTAAGTTTAAAGTTTTATAACTAATGAAGCTAATGAAGCAGAAGTGGAGCATAGGATTTCACTCTGTGAACACACATAAGCAAGAGACAAGCTCACAGTTAATGTGTTCTGTATTTCTCATATGGAGAGAAAAGGACTTTTCTGAAAGCTTCCATAGGAAAGCGTCTACACAAAAAGCCAGACAGCATTAGTTAAGCACAAACAACTCATATACAGAGAGTCTATATTAATACTGCAAACACAGAAATTCTTCTGGCAGTTAAGTATTTCTGAGCAGAGTCAATTTCTATGCAATGCAGCATCTAGCTGGAAAGCACAGACATTTCTGTGCTCACAGGATACTAAATGTGTAAAAACATGAACGTATAGCATGTATGTATATAAGCCTCCTAGTACTACTGACATATTATTACTGGTTTTACACTACAATAAGAGTTTTTTTAAGGAATATGGACTTGTTAAAATGGAAATAAATACTCTGTGTAATATCCAACTATTCCATAAAAAAAGCCAGCTACAGTGTTCAGCAATAATTATTTCAAAGCCATGTGAATACTCTCAATCTTAATCAGTTTCTTCCATGTTTTAGAGTCCACTGGAACTACAACATAGACGACAACCCTAACTAGTTTTGAATGACAGAGCAATGAATGTGTACCTTTTAAGCCTCGTTCTCCTTTATTCCCAATACGAACCAAGGTCTCAGACGGTCCAGGAAAACCTTTATCACCTGGTTCACCATTTGCTCCAAGAAACCCTTTTCTTCCCTTTAGTCCTGGCAAGCCAGAAGAACCTGCAAGAAAATATAATGAAAATTTCTGAAGAAACCTGACTAGATAATAGCATAAAGGAAGCATGAAACTCCTGTCTTCAAGGGCAACTACATATGTAAATACATATTCCAAATCAACAACCTAAACTCGCTTAATTACTCCAGTCATCAATAAAACATCTGTAAGCACAGATTATGACAAGAGATGGTAATTATTTCTTATACTGAATATATGTATAATCTTATCTGTTGAATAGATATAATAAAGATATTTGGAACATGAAGAGGATGGGAAAAAATAGTACAAAAAAGCTCTCTGCTCTTTATTTAGCAACTTGCCAGCCACTTTTATAAATACCTAAGAAATATAAAAGGTGGCAATTCAAAAATGCTAAAGAGAAGTAAAAGAATGTTGTTCAGTCAGTAGACTGCACAAGATTTACCAAGACTCCAGTAAATTCCGGTATGACACATGTACTCGAGAGTGATAACATACATCAAGACAATACACCAGACTACTTCAGCAAGGATTTTCCTATATTCCAAGTAATAATGAAGGCAGGTACGATGGCAACTTGCCTCTGATGCCTGGGCTGCCTGGTCTTCCAACCATACCAGGGGGTCCAGGAATTCCTAACAGGCCCATTTTACCCGGCTCTCCCCTTGAGCCTGTAGAATGGAAGTAATATAAAAGTATTTTAGTATTTGATCAGTGAAATAGAACATTACTTCGGAAAAATAAATACACATGTGCCTGTCATTTAAGTGTTTAGTTCTTTATTTTATTTTCTTTTTCTCTATTTCTGTAACATACTGTCCAAGCCAGTTTTCCAATCTTTAACCACAGGAACCGCGCTTACATGCACAGTAATGCCCAACTACCTAGATTAGTAGCTCCAACAGCTTCTGTCAATGAACTGACAGCAAGGATAATGTACCTGACATATCCACGGATGGATGGGAGACCTGTCATGGGAGGTATGGGAGAGACACTCCTTTCTGGCTCAGAAGTAGAAGGCCAGTTGGGACATGACAACACCCCTCAAATGACACCAGAAGTCTATGTTTGTATAACCAAGTAAAGTGCTACATGTTTATCATCAGCTTTATAGGTTATATATGAAGAAGTATGTACCATCTTCTTCCCACAGAATAATGAAGGATTTGATAGTAACGAAAAACCTTTGTTAGAGATAAGAAGCATTACATACCTGATTTATTTTATTCTAGAAATCAGATCTGAACACATTTCTGAGAAACAACCTACAGGGATAATCTACTGTACTTAAAGTTAGTTCTGGTTAATGCGACAGAGCTTGATCTGACACAACTCTGACAGACTCAAGTTCTGAACTTGCTTTTTAAGGGAAAGAAGACAGCATTAACAAGCTATCTGTCTGAAAAGGGATGCTGAACAAGAACTAAGTATTTTACACTTTGATTATGCTGGGGAGTTGCTTTGAATGTTAACTGTTTCATGTCCTACTGCAAGGACATCACCGTACAAAAATCAGTGTAAGGTAGCTCTCTTTTCTCAGAAGACTTCTAGAAAATTCAGTACTGTGTCATGACAGCTTCAAGATATGGTCATCATCCAGAGAATTATGATTTATTAGTTTTCCATATATATATCAATGTTATATGAAAGATGTTTATAGAAAAATATTTCAGCATCTTCAATTTGGAAAGGTGTAACTGACACCTTTTTGCAGAGACTGACTGAATTTCTACATCAAAACAAGCATCTGGGTAACTCTTACCTGGCACACCAGAGATTCCTGGCCTTCCAGACTGTCCCTTGGGACCAGGTAATCCTGTATTTCCCTGAAGACCTACTGATCCAGGTTCTCCAGGCTTTCCGTAGATTCCTGGAATACTCAAGCCAGGAGGACCTAGTTTTCCTTTTGAACCTTGTGAACCTCTTCCTCCTACGAAAAACACATGACAAAGCAGTATGGTACATCTGTCTGGAAAAGAAACATTTATCTCTATCTTGCCATCATGAGCACGAAACTCTTCTTGAACTCTGTTTCTTAAAAGAGCTGTGGGTTGTTGGTTTTTTAAAGGAAAAAAAAAGGTGACAATTTTGTTCTTTCTCAGAAAAAGACAAACATTAAAACCCCACGAATTCTGCACTCATTCCCTACTACAAAAAAAAAAAAAAAAAAAAAAAAAAGGATTAATTAAAAAAAGCATTTTGAAATCATACTGTGCTGGGTACCTGAGTGTGTTTCTTTTGGAACTAAAATCATACACAGTATATGCAGGTACTTTTGAGACCCTAAACTGGTTCTCTGCCTAGCTGAGCTTTTAATCTGATTTGTTTCTTTATCAATCGCATTGCACCAAGGAATCAAGTTCAGTCCCATACAGAAGGCACGACTAAAATATCCTTTTTCCTGCAGAATTTGTGCCAGTTTGTGATTACTCTTTGTACTGTACAATGGAAATGACTCTTAATCTCTCTTAATCAGTGCATGCATTTCCTTTCATCTGCAGAAAGTGTATCTTTTAAATGGGCTCACATTTTCTCACATATTATTCTATAACCAATATCCAGAAACAACTGCAGCTCCCTCAGGCCTTTGGAAGGCAAAACCAAAACCCAGACCCACCCACTTAATTCAGAAGGTCCTACCTGGTGGGCCTGTAGCTCCCTGGCCACCTGGCAAACCTGGTAGGCCAATAAGACATTCAGCAGGTTTCCCTGGAAAACCTGGATCTCCAGGATCTCCAGGTGAGCCACGATCTCCTGAAAGAAAGGAGACTGGATTCACAATGATTTAAATGGAAGTTTCAGACTTTGAGCGAGCATTGTTTGAGTTGGCTTCCTGTTCCCTTAAAATAACTTGCTGTGCTCCTTGAGCTTCTTTGACAACAGTACCTCTTAGGCCATCATCACCATCATGACCAGCACGCCCTGGTAGGCCTGGAAGTCCTGGAAATCCAGTATCACCTTTTGAGCCAGGAATGC